TTCGCTTAGTAACCTGCCATGAAAATTATAGAAGGCAGAAAACAAAACGTTAAAACTAAAAACAATGTTAGAATAGGAAGCGAAAGAAAATGCAGTGCAACTGTTCTGTTTACCACTAAGGTTATTTTATTGAACTTACGAAAGCATGAAACTAAAAGTGGACCAGGAAGTTCAAGCGTAATTTAAACGGCTATATGACGACGAACGGATTATGTACATACAGACACATCTATGCACAAACAAACCCACACCCACACACATCTACATACATAGATACACATGTACACACGTACAGGCATACACACACGAACATACACATACATACATACATACATACACACACACACCCTCAAACGTATACATGAACACACATATGACCACATTGCATACAAATATACACACATAAAGTTCAGTATTCGTGGTCAAGTACGGTCCTAAAGAAACGGTATTTCTGGCACGACTATCACCACCCCAGTAAAGTGTCGGGGTCACTGGCAAAACCCGCCATTAGCATGGCGTGCCGACAATTACAGTATCATAAATACGATCATAGACGATGAGGAAAAATGTCGAGTACTTGGTTTACTGGTCACTAGGTTTGCTTCGATTTACGAACGCACAACTCTGACCTCTAGTCTAATACGTCCATTATCAACACTAAAGGCTTTTGTATGAAAATGTTTCACAGAAGATCGAAACGAATCGAATTTTTAATATTTTTAGCCAATATTTGTAAGTAGTAAAAATCTGACAACACAAATTCAGCCATTTCTGATAACAAGGATTATTACGCAGAATTACACTAACAGTTTATCTTGCAAAGTGGTATTTTATTCAATTAATACAAAATTAATCGTTTTAGAGATTCTAATCTACAAACAACATTTTGTTCTTATTAGGTACTAAAATAAAATAAAGTTTTAACGGAAATTTTAATAAAAATGTGGTGCTCGTCTTCACGAGCATGGTGCTCGCTGGATTCCGCTCCAGGCCAACAAAGCCACTCGTCCCTCCGGGGTCGGGAAATTGGTACCGCGCTTGTTAGGGAAAAAATCTCTGCAATTCATTTGCGAGCGCTCCAGCTCGGCTATCTCAGGATTCCAGCGAGAACCGACTCGACTAGCATTCCATGACATTCAAGATGAAATGGAAATCCTCAAGCACCAGCTGAAGCCACACGTAAAGTTGAAAGATGTTCGTTGATAATGGATGCGAAGAAACGAATCGAATGTGAGAAGTGCTATAATCCGGACAGTAGACGTGAAGACGGGTCACATAAAATAAAAAAACAAAAGCAGCTTAATAAAAACGAAGTGATTAATTAATGCCAGAAGTTTTCTAGCAGTAAGGGAACAGTTACGGAGCAAAGAAGAAAACACGATCAGAAAGCCCCTAAGGACCGAGGTTCTCAATGTTCACTCGAGCTACGTTGAGGCTAATAAGAGAGCCGTTCAGTGGTGTAGTGGAAAAAAAAACTAACTAGAAGAAAACACTAAAGTCCGAAGCCTTACGGTGAACTCGTTCACGTGCAAAATTTCATTGAATGCAAAGTCACTCAGAGGTTCGACTGTAGCCGGAATTTTTGGGTCATCGAGAATAAAAAGCCAATTGGCTCTCTGGTCATGGAGCAATGTCATGAGAACGCGGTATAGCACCTTGATTCCTACTGGATGATGGTTCTGATGGTTAGATTTTTTAGTTGAATGAAAGAATTTCAGGAAGACTACATCACAAAAGGTAAGAAATGCAAATAGGTAAATACTAGCAAAAACCCGACTGAGTATGGCATTATTCACGTAGACTGCAATAGAGATAAAGTTTCAAGACGTGAACTGATTTTCGACCGTTCAGGTCTCTGAATAAATACGGAGATTTTCTACCAGCATATTAGTTGGCTGGTGAACTTTATGAATTGGTAATTCTGTCGCAGTCTCGGACATAACAGGAATTGTTAGAAAACTGGGTTAAGTTGTTCGTCTGGCTGTGTTTCTTTAGAACTAACGCCGGCCATCAATTCAAAAGCCTTTTGTTGACCATAAAATCATTGATGTTATTGTTAGTGATGAAGCACCATGTTACAGATGGTTACAATAATATTTGTAGAAGGCAAAAGTTGAAATAGTATTCGAACAAGATATTGGTCAGAGTGATTTAACCATATAGAGATTCTTGTTCGTAGATAAGCGTCGACTAGTCGATTCAACATATCCGAGTGTATGATTTCTATCGGCTACATGGCATTTCAATCCAATGGTTTACTGCCTCCTCGTAGCTAAAGGTGTTCCTAGATTTCGAACTGTGATGTGCAGCAAGGATTCATTCCTTGACGGAATCTACCAGACTGGGAAGGAGTTCGACATCTTCAGCCCAGCTAAGAGTGAACCAGTACCACGAATCACTGCCAGCCTCCTGAGAAAAACACGATTGCTAACTGGCAAGTTGTGACGACGACCTAGAAAAGCTCTAGCACAGCTTTCGAGGCTCTAAGGAAGGAACTTTTTTGTCAACCATCAACCTGACCGGGAGTCCGCACGATTCTTGGTGATTCGTAAGGATGAGCTATCTAGGCATCTAAATAAGTATGTAGAACTCAAGGTGAGAAATATAGCTTGGTGGACGGTGACTTCGCATTAAGTATCAACTACTCATAATACCAAACTGCTGACAAGCAGGACAACTTCGCTTTTGGAGCAAAAAGTGGGAAGAAAAAGAGAATCAAAAGGTGTAAATAGAACAGAAGAGCAGCAAATTAAAGCTGGTGGAGGCGAAATGTTGGGATATTTGACCTTATATGTGATCAGGTAACTGTGGCATTGCTGGAGAATATCGAGGGGATAAAATTATAGAAAAATAGCTTTAATAGACCGATTAGCAGTCAGAGTCCACCGGACTGGAAAGGACCTCGAGATTTTCATAGAAACAAAAAATAATGCTACGTGATAAAGAGATGTGAAACAAACTTGAACACATCAGATGAAATAAGGAGACGTGAAGAAACGCCTGGGCGTAGATCATCAGTGTCCCACAACAAAAGCGGATCCTAACCAAGATGACTTAGCGTGACCCGATAGAGTGATAAGTCTGATTAAGAGCCTGTTATAATTAAAGTATAGATTGTAATTCTGAGTAGTGTAATTATATAATCCCAATGGATTATTGCATTACCGTGGTTATGGAGGAACGAAGTCGGGTGTCGACAGTATCGAGTTCGACATTTCCATTACGACAGCAACACCCGTCACTACCGTCACTATCGTGCATAAATTTCCAGATTAGACGAATTAGTGCTAAACTTCCCTATGCCGACAATGTGACGCTTGTTTCTAAACGAGTTATGCCTCGTAAACTGTCAACCGGTTTGAAGCGACAATCACTACCATTTCGACATAATAAACGAAACATGAACTTCTACAGGTTCGAAGAAAGGACTCAACATTAGAAACGCTGTCATAGTTTTTAGTGGTTTATAGCAACAAAAGATCCCGGCAAGGATGTGTTTAACCTTTTGTGTACTGTAAAACCTCACACAGAAGCCTTTCAAATGAAACAACAGATAACCAACCAGTACCAAAACGAGAACTCTTCTGAAGATGAAGAGATAGAAATTCTACTAATCCCCAATTTCGAGTTAAGGAGACCAAAACGAACAAAGTTCATCCAACCTGCTACTACGCTTTCCATATCGGCAAGGCCACCAGCGGACGATGTGAACGTGTCACAGCCGACTTTCAAGGTGTTTTTACGAAGTTTTTTCGAAAACGGTGCAGTTGCGGTTGATGTTATCTGCAAGCGTTCGTCGTGGTCATCTCAAATCTTTCACGATAACGTTCAAATCTCCACTTATCATCAGTTGCCCGCCCGTCCGTCATTCCGTAGCGGCTAGATCGGCGGTTCGGTCGATCATCGATGATCGCGCAACGCTCGAACTGCCAATCAAGTTTCTTAGCCGACCGCTCCCTTTATATCAGCAGGAATGGAAAGTACCGCGAGAAACGTAATAAATTAAAGGACACCGAGAAAGGCGATAATTTGTATGACAAAGTTCAGCGAGTAGAGTGGTGCCAGTGCGTTTTCATGAAATCGTAACGAAGGACATTTAAAAAGTACCGTAGACCAATTAGTACTTTCTATAAGAAAGACTGGGAATAATGAGTGACGGACTCGACGACTATGACCTAAATCACCATTGGCGCTGTCGAATAAAAGGGCATTCTATTATAACAGGAAGAGGGAAATTGAAATAACCTATCAGAACTGTCATTCGTAGAATGTAATATTTCCTCTAAATCCGGTGAACTGAATCACTTTGCTTGTTCTTAGGCTTAGGCTTAGCCTTAGGTTTCTATAAGCCTCTTATCCACACAATTAAAACTCAGAAAGATCAGAAACAATGACTAGTTAAAACGAAAGATATTTTCCAATTATAAAAACAAATTCGGCTACAGTAAGAGCATCTCTAGTTTTAGGAAGATTTCAGGCTCTAGAACGAGTCTGACAGGATAACAAGTAGAAATCTGGGGTTGAAATATTGGATTTTGGAAGAACTCATCAAGAACGCTGAATCAAAATGGCAACCTCCAAGAAACTGTCCGCATTCCTCTGGCTAATGGCAATCAATGTGTCACAGGTCATATTGGAATAAGAAACATTCTGTACAGTCATAACTGTATTGTTTTTGATTCTGATTAAGCTCTGACTAGAACACCTGAGTTCCAGGGCATTGCTGTTTTTTCCATGATAAAGAGCTATTTTCAATCAGTAGTAACACAAAATTTGGTTCTGCCCAGTCCTGCAGCTGAACATACTTTAGCTACACCAAGCAAAGCAACAACTGAAGTGACTTAGCAGGCAGCTTGCGATCACAGCGCTACTGTCAAACTTCAATATGTGGGATAATTCAAACTCTACCCATAGAAAAGATTTCTAGAAAGTTCTTGGATTGAAAGATTTTCAATTTTTTTTTGTTTTCTCACCAATCTTTTCGTCATCCTTAAAATAAAATGCGGCGAGTGTTTGAACGAGTTAACGATTCACGGCCTTTTTCCTATACAATCAACACACTGTGTTTGAACAAAGCAGTTGGAAGAGGCAACAGTGAAGAAGAAGAGGAAGAAGAAGAAGAAGAAGAAGAAGAAGAAGATGATGATGATGATGATGATGATGACGAAGACGATTATGATAAACCATTTATCGGCTTCGATTGAGTAACTAGTAGTATTCTCTTTATTGCTTACAGTACAAAATATTGAAGTCTCTGACGACAAAAGCGAGCTTTAAAACAAAGAAAAAAGGCGATGAAACTTCAACTACCGATATTTCACTTCCGAGGAACTTAACTCCATTCCAATAAGCATTTTAAAATAGAAAAAAGTGAACGGAGAAAGAGAATGAGCCCTTCATTGAACTCGTAATCAATACGAAGATCATTGGGGCAGAGAAAAAATGAATACGAAGATGAAGAAATGAATGAGAGATTTGGTGAAATTTACAAGTTTCAGAATTACTTGATGACCCTGTAGCACCACCTCCACCGAAAATCTTGTTTTTTTTAAAGACACATTATTGTTATTCGTCTCGACGTCGCAGCTTCGCCCTCGACACGAAGGTGAAGCTGCGACGTCGAGACGAATAACAAGCGAGGACCATCGACTCAGATCGTCAGCTCTGAGGAAGGCGAAGACGTCGAAACGTTAGCCGAAAATAAATATCATTATCAACCTCGTGTAAGCTCATCAAAGAAAGAATACATATTGATTAGTGATACCGAGGTTCAAGGAAAGTCGGTTCCGAAGTATATACGCATTATTGTATTTCCAAAATACTTGCATCGTAAGAGGATTTTCAAAGCATTAAACAGCCTGAACTGAAGAAATGCTAACACATAAATGCACCTACGCACACATAAACCCGTACATCGTATACGTTTACCTCCAGACATGAACACACGCGCATATGTGCACGTATATACACACACGCGTACGTACACACTTCAGTCATTCCGTTGTCTTGGAAATGTCGTACTCAGGTGTCGTAAGGTTTTCCAGTTTTGCGTTAGTCCATCCCCTGGATCCAGCTGTGTCTACGCAACACCCATGCGAGCTGACACACATACACACACACACACACACCACAAACACACACATGCACGCACACACACACACACACACGTACGCACACAAGCACACATATGTACATACATACCTTCATAGATCTGTCCAAAAGCAAGGTAAGGATAGGAAAAGGGCGTACATACATACCTACACGAAGTACGTCAAATACATACACAAACATACATGACTATACGCCAATATAAGGCAAAAATTAGGAAAAAAAACTGTGCCAGCCGACAAGAATATGGATAATAATGAACGGAAAATAGTGAAAGTAATGGATTTCCAGACAAGGATGGACTTAAGAGGCATCCGGGACACCAAAACGGTTAGTTAATACATGGAGGTGTTTGATTGGTGGCAACCGGACGGGACTAAATAAACATCGACCGACTGAATTGATCGCGAGCGTCTCTCTCTCTGTATGTACTGTTGTGTGTCAGGTCGGCATCTATCGACAACACACACCTCATAAGCAGAGGAGGTATTTTCGAGGTCACGTCAGGTCAGCGAATTACTCCACATTTGATCGGACCTACTCGCTTGCGGCGCGCTTGAGCAGGCAATGATAGTGGTAAAATGTAACAACAATAAGTGGTACTCATCTATTTAGCGATGCCTTTGAAAGTTCAAACTCGAATCCTCGGCTCTTGAATAGGCGAATTTTCGATTGATCTACATATTAATATGTTTAGTCGTATTCGGTAATGACCAAGGAGTCGATCAATGTAAATGTCGGCAAATTGGTACCAGATTTGTCTGAGCCCCCACACACTTCCTATACTCTAGGCAGGAATCCTCTAGCTCGACTAGACCAGAACTCCAGAGAAAATAGACTCGGCCAGAATTCAACGACGTTCATAAAGAAGACAACAATCTTCGAGCATCAGCCGAGCCTACATATGAGAAGTTCAAAGACCTTGGTGGATGATGGATGGTAGGAAGCGAATGGAATGCAAGAAGTGTTGGTAGCCGCATAGAAGATGTGAAGATATGTCGTTTAAAAAAATAGCATCAGGTCTCGAAATTGACAGGCTGACTAATTTGATCTACCATTGAATATTGTAAAAATATTTTTGTATATAAATGCACCGCAATGCATAATTGTGAAGGCTTTCTCTACCCAGCATCATAGAGTTCTTACATTTTTTGATGTCCATCTGTCAATTATCTTTTTTACATAGCTACTACACCTATTATATGTAAATACACAATTGGTTTCACATTGTACGTGCAGCGATTTACGAGTACAAATATCGTTCCTCTGTTTACAGTCACTCCGTCGGTTCTTAATGGACTGATTGTTTGTTGATCGACAGATTCAGTGATGGTTAATAGCCGGGTGAAAGACAAGACCACTTCCTAAACGTTGCCAAAAATCTGAGGACCGTTATAGCTTTTGAAATCTTGGAAGGAAGAAAAACCGCAACAAGTTTCCGTCGAGGATCCAGTGATGCAAGTTAAGGAGACAAAGCCCGATATTATCGGACAGAGAAGCACCTCTGGTACTAAAGACAATGAGGATGATCTTGGTTCCGAAATATGATACATCGGAGGAGTTGGCAGAATTGGTGGAAAGGTGTTAGCACGTGTCTCCAAATCAGACGTGTATTGCTATAAACATTTGCTCTAGTACTCTCTTGAACTTCTTCGTCACTCTAACGCGATGCTTCGGTGAAAGAGATAGACCGTTGTGATTACACCTTTCATGAGAATATTACTGAATATTTCGAAGTCAAAAAAACTTCGAGAAAACCGGACGATGTTAAAACCGTAATTTTTGGTTGGAAAGAAATTGGCTAACTGTCAGCTCAGTATGGCATCAAAATTCATTCAACGAAGCTCATATGTTCTAAAAGCCGTCAACTCGTTGTAACAGGAAGAAGTCTCCTACTACTACAAGTCCACCAAAAGTTCAAAAATTGGCCATAACATCACAGTGCACTATGGAATCATTCCCAAGGTTTAGGAAGGAATCTATAAAACTACCATTATTTGCGAGCTCTGCAGACTTTCTGTCAGGATATCACAAAATTACTCACTAAATTTGCGAAGGATGCGATTAGTTCAATTAACATACTCAAAACAGTTTAGCCAATGCGATAGCCTAAAGGCCACTAATGAAACTGTTTCTTGGAAAACTCTCGTAGTGACTAGTTTGCTTGCTATGGCGAGTGAGCGGCTTACACCTGAGATTGCAAATACTTCGGAGGAGCGATAAAATATCCTAAGAGAAGAGCTACAGTATTGGATGAAGGAGCTTCGTGCCCTTTTATGATCCACTGAGTACGTTTTGGGATTTGCCGCATTACCAGCACACTAGCGCAGCTCATCGGAAGCTGCCTGCTAGAATGTAAGCTACCCAAACTACTCTCGCTCAAATTTTCAGCAATTTGTCGTCTGCAGGCTCCTTGTGCAAGTTCTTGGCAAGACAGCCAACATAACACGGAGTGATATGTAAGAACAAGAATGACTTCGAGAATATTAGTGACTGATTACGAACACATTGTCATTAAACTCACTGTAGAATCGCGAAAACGTCTGGTGTGAATGATATTAATGAGTTTCACCTTCGCTACCTTAAAGATCTCCAACTGAGGAAGGTCAAAAAGTCAAAACGTTGGGAGACTTTGTTCCCGAGATTGCTAGTATGAGACCTTATAGTCGGAAACCTTGCAAGAATATCAATGTACTGAGAGAGGAAAAAAGGTCTGTTTTTAAGTGCAGCTCTTCGATTCCGTATTTACTCCGACCCTTAGTCAACACCTTGAAAACTAAGCCTCATTCAAACAGATCGAATAAGACTTGTTGTCACAACGGTGATGTGAGCACTGCTTCGCGCCAGATACGTACAACGGAGTAAGAGGTACGAAGTTATAACCAGCGTCGCTGATCAATGGTAGAAGCTACTCCATCATAATATCGAAAATAGTGTGCCCCGCAACATGATTTGTGTGAACGATAGTCGGTCGATAGGAGAAATTAAAGCAAGATTGGGTGACACGTGTATATGTGTATGTGCACGTGTGTAAGTGCATATTTATGTGGCATGTATGCTAGTGTGCGTGTTTCTATGTGTATATATATTTTGCATGTGCTTACGTTTGTGCGTGGACATATGTGTGTGCGTATGTATGTATGTATGTATATACATATATAAACATATACGTAGGTATGTATGTATGTATGTATGTATGTAGGTATGTAAATGTGTATGAGTTTCTGTATGTGCATATGTGGATGTACATGTGGTGTGTACGTGTTTGGTTATCGATGCAGCTTCATGGAACAAGGTTTAACAAAAGCTACGATGTCCCCCTAACGCGTGCAGATTATTACAGTGCTCAAGGTTATTTGTGGAGGTAAGGAAGCTTTTCTTTGCTGAATAACGAACGGTTTACCTGTCACCGTTTTTCACTCATTAGTGAATTATGTAACAAATTCACAAGTCCTTTGCACTAAACGAGAAATGAGAAATGAATGATGTGCAGTGCATCCTAGATAGGACAAAAAATAGGTCTTCAAAAATGCCTTATCAAAAACTTTATCTAATATTCTCACCGTAAAGTAGTATTAATGACCAGCATACGATATTAAGATGAAGGATTGTCTGGTGTAAAATTTTACAAAACCAGGCTCCCACCTATTTGATGAGTTTTAAAAAGCAGTCTTTTTGGTGGACCACTTTACTGGAGAGTCAAAGATGATCAGGATCACTACGATCTGCTTTTACGTGGCGCAAAAGCTGTTCGTGAAGGGTTTGATAGAAATTATAGCGCACTCCCAAACACACACTTCCAGCATCATGACCACGACAGTGTCGATTTACATTCATTCTTGCATCCTACTATAGACGAAAAAGAAAGTAGTGAGCAGTGAAAGAGTTCACACTAGTGGAAGAGTGGAGATGCTGCGTATGAAGTTTTTCTCCAACAACAGTTTTGAGTTGATTGAGTGGGGAAAGTCGCTAAGAATATCGATAGTTACACAGGTGCTCTAGTAACATGTTTGTTTGAACAGCACTTGCAAAATGAGACGTGGTAGTTTTTGAAAGAACTAGATGATATCATTAGTTGTCTCATATTTTCCCTTTACAGTAACATTCTCAATAGTTTTAATGATGATGAAATGTTTGCAAAACTCCGGACCGCAGGTGTCTGCGGTGGGGAACGAACGCGCTATTGTCGTTTCCGGGGGCTAACACGTTCGCCACCACACCATCCGGGTCCTTCGTTTCGCCTGTCTTTCAGCTAGTTCTATCGATTTTTTGCCATCAGCAATCACCCGTCGGCGAGATTGATCCGGGGTGCCTAAATCCCCATGGACCTGCATGGTGTGGTGGTGAACGTTACTCCCCGGAAAGGACAATGGCGCGTTCGTTCCCCGCCGCATACACCTGCGGTTCGGAGTTTTGCAAATATCTCAGCATCATTAAACTTATATTTCGCAATGTATACCCTGCCGTTAAAAAAGAGTAGGCAGTAAATAATACGGTTAAGATTCTCAATAGTGCTAGAGGGCTAACAGCTTCTAAACTGTGTCGGTACAACTTCAAAATAGTGCCAGATATCTAGCATCTTTTGTGTAAACAGTGAAGAATAAAGGTCACCAACGTCGTGAAGACGTGAGTGAAGATGCTACCAGAATTTTTTAAGAAGGAATAATACTAGAACGGTGCAAGTAGTAGTTTTTGGTAAGTCGTTGTAACAAAAGTCATACGACTTTTAGGCCCATTGTAAAGCAAATAAAAAGTTTCTAAAGAGTATAATTGTAATGTTGCAGACCCTTCAAAGTATCGAACTCGACCAAGTTCTTGTTCTGTGAGCGCATAGGGCTCTACGATGATTCTTGGTTTCGCGACTAGTGCTGGTGAGACACCAGCCGCACAACACTCACTTGTGTCTGAGATCCTGTGCCATGGCGGTGATGGCGCAGTCTCCTTGTGTTGGTGGTAACGCTTGGAGGTTCAGCACGTACGGTAAATTCGCCATTCCATGTTCATCGTTTTGGTCGCGATGTATCGGTAGTGTGAAAGATTCGTCAGCGTAGTCGAGAAACGTCGAACTGGTCTCGGGTGGATGAAATATCGCTATTCGCCAACCGCTTCGAGCCAATGCCGTTAATGTTGGACCATAATTACCGGCGTCTAAACGAAAGGGTGCTTTTGAGTTCAGAATCTTTACGAACGAATACCTTGACGTTCTTCAATTGCATTCTCGTTTATTTTTGTTAAAATTTCTATGTCGATAACCTTAGGCAGTTCTGGACCCGGATCTGATCTTCACTAGCTGGTAACGAAAAGTGTTTTTACAATTTTGCCAACCAAGCAGTATTTGCCTCCAGGTGCGATATAATTCGTCGCCTCCTGTTCACATTTGGTAAATATTTTGGGCAACGTACCGAAGACAAACATGCTCGCCATTGGTAAGAAAACGAATCCTTTCACAGGGTGAGTTAACTCGGAGCACTTTCAATGGGATACGCATGTGAAAGTTACTTTGACGAGGTAGTACTCACCGGAAACAAGTGCAATAAGGCCTGGTGGTCCGTTGATGGATGAGGTATGCCGAACCATTCGCTGACATAACGCGTCTTCGATCGAACTCTTCGCTGATAGAGACATATGCGCGATTTCTCCGTTCTGAACAGACGAATGAACTGTATAATGCTGCTTTAAAAAACATAGCCACTTAAAGAATTTTCGGTGACTGAATGCTCGCAATTCTATAACGTTACTTGAAGGATTGAAAACTATCAATAATCATCTTTATCACTACTTTGCCTCATGATTTTACGAACTGCGAAAAATATTAGCGACAGTAAGAATTCCCGAGCAATTAACTGTCAGATCTCTTTCTCCTTCTTTTCCGCTTCACTTTTCCAAGTAATCAGTTGTCACCTATTTTAAAAGAAAGAGGAAAAGTCTACCTGAAAACGCTCTGCATAATCGGTGATTTCTTTTGGTGTCACTCGAACGTCACAACAAAAGTAGATCTTATCAAATTCGGCTTTTAACTTAACAACTATCTAAAAACAAGATCTCATAGCAAAGTGTGGCCAACAAGGACTTTTAACTGGTCGTATATGTATTATTGGAATGACTCGATATTATCCCTAAACGATTACTTAAATGATCACTAAATCATCACCTAAATCCACTAGCCATTAAATATCACTTAGATCAGAAACCTTTACTAGAAACGGGGGTCATTACAGATAGACTGAAGGATGTTAGCTTTTCAAAAGTTCATCATCACATTGAGCAGTTCTCCCATACATTCGCATTTACCAAATGAAAAAGACGTAATCATCACGTGACGTGCTACTGCCCAATCAGGTGCTAGCCGTTCATTACGCCACCACTAACCCAATCAGCTTTAATCTGGAATATAGCAGAAACCTACATGCTTAATAAGGCTTTCTATCCTTCCTTGAGGTATGGGTACAGAATGGTAATTGTAGTATACTAAAACTGGTCCTTCATTGCTCATTGTGTCTTTCTGAATAAGACTGTCACAAAATGAATGGAAAACTCACGCATGCTATTATAAAGCATCGACTCAAAGAAAAACCAGCAGCAGTGATTAAGTCCTCAAATAACATAACAACGTTTAGAATCAGCTATTAGTAGGATCTATTCAATCATTGGGCTTAACCTCGTCCACAATTTGAATGGCCAATCATGGGTTATGACGGTGCTGAGACGTGACATACCCATATAGACTACGGTCTGATTTGCGAAATAATTGATGCGAAAAACTTGTATTAGTTGGTCCACTTCATCTAATAGAGGTGAAAATGTGATCTAGTCAAACCCTGCTGAAGAATGGGCAAAAGGGCTTAACACAGAACCAACAAATTTGTGGAGAACATCTTTTTCACTTACTCCATGTCTATCGCCTAGGGAACATCTGTTCCACTTATTCCATATCTATCACCCATCTTGCCTGCATTTTTAATTTTCGAAGCTAGTTGCCAAATTGTTGCTACCAAGCTTAGATAGTTCCATAAAAATTGAACCATGAAAAATGTCTCAGAAAAGCGAAAACTTTCGACGTTGATCGATCCCTGAGGGATGAGCTATTCCTTCGACCTCAACAAGCGTGGTTAAGGGATGTTGAATGCATATTTAGTATACACAGCGACTTGTTGTGGCCTACCGATGTGCCAAGTCAATGATGCTATCTTTCTAGATAAGTACAGTACCAACTTTTCGACTCCGGAGAGATGAAGGACTTGGTGCCTTGCGACGTGGGATCGAATTAGCTACCGATACAGTTGCCAATGCAGGACATCGTCTTATGTCATACGTCCTATGTCATATATTAAAATCATCTGTTAACAAGTGAAATAAGACGGTATTTGATTGAAGCCTGACGACGTTGCCACTAATACCCTATTCACACCCAGTGGGTACTCTCCAAGTGATCTAGGCTGTGTCTGGAAGGTCTGGGAGGAAACATTACAGAAGGCCCTTTTCAATCCTAAACGGAAGGAGTCGAGAACTTCAAAGAGCTTAAAAGTTGACCGAAGGTTTGTATGGTCTACCATGTTAAGGCTAAAAATTCGTGCGAAATAGTGACGATAATATTAGTTCATTCCTCCAGTAAAGCCATCAGACAGCGCTTTAGTATCTCTAAACGAATGTTAAGTTAGGAATAAGCTTATTCTACACCGGTGCTTTACGAGTTAAATATGACCAGCTTCTCACCAAGAGTACTGAAAAGCCATCGTCCTAAAAAAGTTTTCTGGCACCTTGAGAAGACCACTAATCAACTCGGCACGCGATGGGATGAGTGGACAATACTGACACTCATACAAGCTACTTGATTTCTAGTGAGCTATAAATCATGCAGTTAGTACTGTTAATAGGATTGAAATGTATCTCAGCCGTTGATTACAAGACATTACAATGATTACAATATGCTGTGAATAAAACTGTTCATGCACTTACCGTACTTTCTTCTATGTGGTGGCAGCTTGTTTCTGAAAGCCAACCGACCACCTCCAATGAACGAGAAACACGAAGCCTCACTAGGAATCACATCATACCAAAATCACTGATATTAAAAACAACATTATCCAACATTATACACTCTTCACAGATAGCGAATATATGCTAAACATTCTAATGAAAGCGCGAAAGCCAACACAGAGCTGAGCAGCTTAATGAAATAATATTATACCACTAAATACCGATCACCCCCGTTGCTGCGGTTCATCGTGTGGGAGGTATTACTGGATGTTGAAGTACGAGGCAAAAAGAAGTGTACATTCTCTCAGGAAGGTTGATGAAGACGAGAAGATGTCGACATTTCCATCCCGAAGCAACACTGAGAGCGAACCGAAACCTGTAATTTTTAAAATGGCTCTTGCCTAATTAACCTATATATCAACGTTTTCGCACTACAACATGGCGACTTAGAAGTTCGGCGAGTTTGAAATATTTGGAACATAGCGTCAGGGAACAACGTGAATACAGAGTCCCATAAATACCAAGCATTTCGTTGATTTAATTTATTTCTCTTAAGTGATTCATGTTAAATTTGTGCAAGAGTGAAAAAAAAGAGTGAAAAAAAACGAAGCTGGTGCATAATAACTAGCCCCCGTAACAAAACTGGATAGAATAAAAATGAATAAAGGACAAAGCTCTCAACGTTGATCAATCCCTGAGGAATACGCACTACATTCGACTTCACTAGGCATCGTTGGCGGTGATGGAATGCATATCTGGCGTTTACAATGACTCGCGGTGGCCTACCGATGTATCTAACCAGTGCTGCTATCCTCCCAGGCAAGTCTCGTACCAACTTGCTGACTCCGGAGGTATGGAATGCCTGGTGACCCATGGGCGTGAAGATCGATTCCGCGTGTGCGTTGCAGGGCGCTTCCGACCATTGCGCCACAAGCGCCCCTAACAGAAAGAGAAGAAATACAAAGGAAAATTACAGGGAGATGTATAACATTGAGGCAGCTTACAATCTGTGCAACCAGCGCTATCAACGATTTTTTTCGGCGGCTGCTTAATCACTACACTACTCACCGTTTAACTACTCGGCTAATCATAATGTTATTTAACCGCCCGTTATATCACTCTTTATTTATGAGTTCGTATCGATGAAAAGTAGAAGATAGGAAGGTCTATTTTGTTTTATTTTCGGTTTAATGCGGTCAGCTGGAAAGATAGCACCAATCATCAAGAAGTGAGTTTGTACTTTTTCGGCCGTTCCTATAAAGTTCTCATTAGAGGGTCATATCTTAATTCTACTTCTTTGTTTTACACAAAGTTTAAAGATAAAAAATGTTAATCACTTTGCATTGTTGAGACATGGAAGGCTTTGTGTTCTTCAGAAACTGAAACAGCAATTTTAATCAGCTGCTCTTTCAATCACATTATAGCGAGCTATTCGGAAATGTTAAATTGTAGTGGTGGGAAATAATGCCCGAAGCACTGGTCCGACCCCGGTGTGGTAAAAAAATGTCCTGTGGTGAAGAACTGGAACGCCCACACAGTTTCCCTGGGATTGCAGGAGGATTCGACATCCAGCCTCTGACGAAATTCATGACGAGGAAGAAACGCCGTCACGCAAAGTAGAACCAGCGGGTTTCGAATATCTTCATAGGTGATGGTGCGAGAAAGTGGATCGAATGAAGGAATTGTTGATAGCCGCATGATATGTACTGTCAGACGACATAAAAACTAAGAAAAAATTGATTTGTTCTACACCATTATTGGACTCAGATCACAGAAACTATCGAAGAGAATTGTTTGGAGCAGGTCGAAGTGATACCATTGGATTATTGTGCAAAGGAAACAGATATTAGCTAAGAAATAAAAGTAGATATTGGTTCCTTTAAAAAACATTGTCAGTTTCGTCTGCTTTCTTAAAAGTCTGACGCTTTATCTCCCAAAGAAAGTCATTGTGATTCTATTGATTGCTAAATAAGAGTTATAACTTTTCGCGCATCGTCCAAACCATTTAAATAAAGAGACAGTACAATACAATAACCAGCTGTTCTAAACTTCCTCATTGGAAGTCACGAAAAAGCGGCTCTGAAGAAGGCGATACTGCCGAAACGTCAGCTAAAGAGACAGTGTTAAGTGGAACTCTAAGAAATCCAATGTCTGCGACCGATGTCGTACTATCGAATGGGTAAAATGTAGTTATACGGCACTACTATTTACGACACGTCGTACAAACATTACCGCCACTATGTGAATTTGTTGGATATCTCGCCATTCACTTCCCCTGTGCACCTCAGCGACCGCTTTCTGAAAAAACTTCAACAGTTAAGCCGCTTGTGTAAATACCTTCAGAAGATCCACTGCTTTTAGAAGCTCAGGATTTCACCTCAATGAATAAGAAAAAAGTCTTCCTACTCGTTGATATCTATGTGCAAATGTTAGTGTTTTTTATCTTGACTGATGATTTTCTAGGCTACTAGGTAGTACAAGGTCATAGGGATTTGTTCACAGTTGAGATATCGAGTGCAATAACTTCTTAGAAGAACTGGAAGCAATACAATGTAATTTAAAACAACACATTGAAAATTACATCGATCATACGATCGCCTTTAAGCACAGCACACCAACAGCAGTTGGTAAACCAATCATGTTCTAAGTAGTTGTTTAAAGAAAGTTTGTTATTCCAAAGAATAGAAGCCTACGTAGTATCACTTTGGCTTATAACTATTCCCGTGATGTTCCTATAGATGATCCGCAGCACATATAGTCATGTTCACTTTCAAGTGGCTGCTTCTACTGTTTTTGAAGAGAAGACACCCATAACTTGTCGTGGTTCGCAATGATGCTTGATTCTACTCAACGGTTTCTGGACATGAAAAAGCAAAGAAAAGCGGGATTTTTTGTTCATATTCTTCTTACGGAGAAATGCCACACAGTTCATCTGCCTTCGTGCACCTGGAATTGCGTCTGAGCAGTTTGCGCCATCTTTCATACTAGGGAGACTAATGAAAACTACCACTTAAGAGAAATCATATTGTAAAGTTATTCCTGCTCTTCCATTTTATTTAAGAAAACTATGACGCAATATATAGTGAAGCTGCCGTGGAAGGCGGGAAGTACTCATCTTGACACAAATTTGGTCGAAAGAAATCTTTAAGGAAGAGGATACTCACAATAAGGGAATTTTGAACGTGCGCTATTACAACGCTCAATAACCCCTACTATCGCCTTTAGGAGAATTAACATACGAATAAGACCAAATACGACGAGGACGTATTCTGTTTAATTCAACGCTTAAATCGAAGTCCAGTTTCTTCTCGATTTTTTTGGGTGTAAAGTAAATGAAGTTTTGCTTCTCACGATTTAAAACAGTAGGTTGGTATGGTGTGTACAAAGCTGGAGATTGGAAAATGATGATGAATGCGAAAATTCCAAGACTTTGTTATTATTTTTGCTTTTAGAACGAAAAATAAAAAGAAGCAAGGCCCGGTGAGTTTTTGAGATTCATAAGCAGGCGCAGAATCACATGTAAGCGATTTTTGAGAAATCTCTTCCACAGGTTGAAAGTCATAGGCGTGGACGAGCTGCAGAAAAACAAGTTCTTTACGTGAGTTCAAATATTGCCGTTTAATAGACTGAGAAAAGTATATGAACGATTTTCTTGAAGTGGGCCAAGCTCTTAAGTAGAGCCGCTTACTCATAAGTAGCTTATCAGGTTTAAGCTGCGGTCAAGGTAACATTCACACGATGTCATGTTCAGAGGTGAATTGGAGCTGAATTGTTGTAGGTGACCTTGAACTTCATGTCATGCATATATCGCTTGTTCACTTAATTTTACAATTTTGGTGAATCAACGCGAAAGAAAAACTTTTAGTCCATTGGAATATATCGACTGTATACATGAATACGAAAAAATACGAGAATTCAATCTTTCGCATCGTTTTCAACGGTCGACTAATGGATTCCATTCTCTTTTTTTTGGATTCGGATTCGCGACCGCCACAGGAAAGTTTCCAATAATCCTAGTTGCAGCGCAGAAATTTTCCTGTAAGCCGTAAAGGTACACGACTGGAACTGCTCTTTGAGGCCATCTAGGAATTTTAGGAATATTCATGCCTGACCAGCATCCAACGAATTGGTTGTGCAACAAGCCAACAAGTCGTCAGGTTAAAGCAGACTCCACACCTGAATCCAACCACTTGTATGGGTGACGGTTGCAGGAAAACGGATTGAATGGAAGATACGCTTTGGCGTACTGCATAAGTGAAGGCGGGTTATACAAGTGCTAAGTACATACGTGGCACACAGATTTAATAGCGAGTAACGGAGACAGGAAGACATATCCCCTAACTTATGTGTATCTTCGAATTTGCGTTCGCGTTATGCTCCTTGTCCTCCATCCTCCATCTGGAGGTGAGCCACTTAATTTACATACTTACCCATCGTGTATTGTTCGTGACATTACTACTGCTATTCCGTGTTTTATGAAACAAATTCTGAGCTTGCATTTTCGGACTACCAACACTCTGGTTTTATCTCTCATGAGTTATTATATTGACAAAGCTATTTCAGCTACCAAAACGTGATTCAGCTGAGCGTTTCCCAGAGCTCGACCTGGAATTGAATAATGTTCGACTGATTGATGCTCGAATGGTACGTTGATTTAGGAAAAATAAAGCGATTTTTACATGATGATTACTGCAACGTGCACATTGACTTATCGAATTAATTGTTTATCTAGAAGGTAACATTTATGCCTTTATAATGTAGCCGTAACTTTTCTTCCAGTTCTCAATGGCCTTAGTGAACAGTGGCTCAAATCAATGGCGAGAATTTTTTCGTATAACAATGCCACGAGAGAAGGTGGCTAGACGAGAACAGTAAGTTTTATTTGATTACTGAAGTTATGCCTCTTGTTCTTGCAAAGTCTTTAGTAAAGTAGTAAGGCGTTGAATAGATGGTGGTTGAATAGATGATAGTGGGTGTTAAGTGTTTGATAGTGGGTGGGATAGTCGGAAAATTTTCGCATCCCTGTGTCATGCGCGAAAGGTCGCTGTCCTTCGCCTTGGTTTCAACCTTTTTCTTCTTTTGGAAGTTTCTTGCAAATGCAAAAAAATAAGAGAAAGGCAAAGAGCGAGAAAGAGAAAATTCCTCCTCATTCTGGACATCGTCATCATAACATTTCGATAACCTGCTGCTGCAAAGCTCAATTGAGCGGCTGAATGTGAAGCCCACCATGTTCGATGCTGCCCATTTCTCTATAAGGAATAAACGTTAATGGAGTCTTTAAAACTTTCAAAAGCAACCGGCAGTGCTTTGATAAAGACATGCAGAATATTCGTTTGGAAGGCATACCACACTGAGGGCAATATAAGTCATATATGTCGGACAAAGGATTCGTGTTCTAGTTTAGTAATTCACATTAATATTTTTTTCTATTTATAAGTTAAGTTGTAGTAGTTTAAATCTTTTATTTATCACCTATTTTTCTCATAGCAGGGACTGATGTGAAATAACCAATAACCACAATGATGCTAAGTTATTCGCAAAACTCCGATGGGTAGATGTCTACGGTGAGGATCAAACGTGATATTATCCATTCCGGGGGATAATATGTTCACCATCACACCATTTGCATTAACAGGTTCAGCTGGGTTCAATGCCGATTTGTACCCACAAATCGGTCCATAGACGGGTCATTGCTGACAGCACCTATAAAACACAACTAAGAGAATGGTGAAACGAAGGGCCCGCATGGTGTTTTGGTGAGCGCGTTACTCCCCGGAAAGGACAATAGCGCGTTCGTTCTTCACAGTTGTCACATGCAGCCCGGAGTTTTGCAAATATCTCAGCATCATTGTGGTTTTATTAGTTTATGCTCATTGACATTTGGTAGAGAAAGCTTAAAGAAAAAGAAAAGTTTCTTATGGATAAACCCAGCAAGACTGACGATCCCGGATTAAATCTCTGTTTATGCGCCGGAAAATTACCCTACGTATTTACATTGTTGGGTACTTGGACGGCCCGTCTTCACGAGCTGTGCGGACCCCAGCACATATGGCATTCGTTTCCTTCTCTCGCAATAGTAGTCCATGGTGATGGTCTTATTCCAGCATGGTAGCGATTGCGAGTCTCATACCATGATTTTTAAAACAGCTGTAGCTGCGTGTACAGCTGATTAATTTTGCTTACGAACACGTCCGCCCAACGTGTAGGTGGTCGTCCAATGGGACGTTTGCATTCTCTTAGAGCCCACTCTACTGCTTTTTTCGTCCATCTGTCGTCTGTTCTTCTCATCATGTGACCAGCCCATCTATGTTTTGCTGTCGATGTATATTCTCCTGGATCTGAAGATGTGACAGATTTCGAAGGTCAGAGCTTCGCATTCCGGCTACATATTGAGAGTGCCGGTTATATCTTATTATAATTATTTATAATATAGCCATGTATATAAATAACCGCATGTATTTAGATTCTGTATGTGCTGTTTTATCAGTCGACCATAATATTCACTTCCGATTTCTTAGGAAAACTTTTTTCCTGGTATTCGTTAAAGTTCTATTTCTGTTATTATCATTGTCTTGAACGTAAATAGTTAAAAGGATCAACTTCATTGGTATTCTTACAAAGCATGCTGCTATTAATAACAATAATAATAAATGAGAACGATCAATAACAATCACTAATTGTTGACAATAATGTCTAAAAGCAGTAATATTAAACTACAATAGTTACATTCTTCTATTACGTGCACGCGCAGTAGAAATGATAGGCGCATGGTCATTGGTTCGCTCCCCTCTCACAGGGCTCGACTGAACCTTTCTTTCGTCCGCGCTCAGAAAATTAGTACCAGACCTGTTGCCGAAGAGAAAAACGCTAACATAATACGTCTGAAGTGCAGCAAAATTCGTTGTATAGATCAAATACACATTCGCTCACCCCCACGACTCATAGTAGAGTGGGTTGCAAGGCGCATTCATAAAGAACTGCAGCGAACGCCTTGCTATTTCACTAATCTACTACTTTCTCATTACAGTAATCTGGGTACCGGTCTGAATTGCGAATACAGTATCGCCAAACCAAAAGGTATGAAGGAATGGATGATGTATAGATCGTATATTCGGGCAGACGAAGTGAGTTGACTTCCTATCATATAATTTTTACACCTTGCGAGTTGTGCACTGCAAAACAAAAATCTGTATGGTTATCTTATCGTTTTCTGATTATGAAATAAAACCAAAGAAATTTATACGTATTCCACTACTCGCTCATTTTTCGCGGTCAGTAGAGAAAAGAACTCTTTTCGGTAGTGAGCAGTAGTCTAAGCGTTAAATATTTGGCGAACAGTTTTTTAGAGATAAAATGCCCTATCTTCGGGACAGTGGCACATTCGGCCTTATCTTCTTTAGCGACTCTGATTGTTTGAAGCATAAACAGTGACCAGACAATGGCACGTAGTATTACTCTGATCTCCAAAACAGCTAGCGCACGGCCTCTCTAAGAAACTGCAGAGTTCGGATCATCAATACTGGAGTATCAGATCGTCCACCAAACTAGCAGATTGATGAGACCAAACGGCGAAAATATTCTGCAGCAAAACTAACACCACCAGCATTATTAATGATGGGTTCTTAGAATTTCCAAAATAATCGGGATTCTGGGATCTGAGCAAAACTCGTTAAATCAGTTGGGCCTCGATCCCATGATTACCTTAGCGGGGCACCACGTGTCATGCAACACGAAGTCGATGGTCTTGTTTTGTTTTTCTCTCCACCATAAAATTGCGTTATCGGTACTGTCAACAATCACCCACCAACGGGACTGATCTGGAGACCACAATTTGGCACTGGAGCCAGTCACCAGCCAGCCAGTCCTGAAGCTCTCGTAGCTGAAGTCGAAATGACATTATCCCAACTTTTATTTAGCGCCTATTTCTTCCTTCGTGACCTTGCTCGGACACCATATTTCGTCTACGATGGATAAAGAGGTCGATGGACATTGTAAATAAATTATCGTCATACTCTTGTCCGACCTTAGAAAAAGTGTTTACGTCCCACCTTTTTTTTTCTCTTTAGCATTTCACTAATTAAATTAATTGTTGGTTAGAAGATAACATAAGCTCCTGCCTCTTTTCCTTACGGATTGGAAGAAAGCTTGCTACTTTGCGACTACATAGCTTCTAACACATTGAACAATACTGCCATTAGTTTAGTCTTCATTAGTCTACTGGATACGTAGAATTCTACAGCCTAAATGGCGTCAATGTTGGAATGATTCCTACGCGGCCGAAGATTTCAGCCCAATTCCTTGAAATATTTTCGTATCGAATAAATATTAAAACCTCTGACGAGGACAAAAACATGCGAGAAACACTGTGGCGGTTGCAACGAAAAAGCTTTCATTTAATAATATCTTTTAAAATGGATATATTCAATGGAGCTCAATATGCTAATGGGTTCCACTCGCTGTAGTATCGACATCATTCCATTTACCTCAATGATTCTTTTTCTTTAAGTTGACCATGCTGGATTACAAAGAAAGGAAGCTTTTCTACCTCCAGTACATGCCAAAAGCGTTACTCACAGAAGGAGAAGGGTTATCGCTGCAGTACATTATGGATTGGCTAAGGTAAATTACATTTGTTTATCACCTACGAGGATAAAGTAAAGGTTATAAGCTCTCAGCGTTGATCAATTTCTGAAGGATGCGCCATGCATTCGACTTCATTAAGCATCGTCTGAGGTGATTGAATGCATATCTGGCCTTTCCAATGACTCGCGGTAGCCTACCGATGTATCGAGCCAGTGCTGCTTTGCTCCCAGACAAGTCTGGTACCAATTTGCCAACTTCGGAAAGATGAAAGGTAGGCCACGGACGCTGTGTGTTGGTGTCCCTGGTGTCCCATGGGTGCTGTAGGGCGTCCCCGACCACTGCAGGACACGCGCCTTACACCAATGAGAAGCAATATTATTATAACATGGTTCCATGATCTTCTATAGGATAGGAATCAAAGAGCTGTACCAATGAAAACTTTTCGATGAGACAGCGAGAGTATTATGTGCTGAAAAGTTACCATGACCAAAGTTGAACGAAAAAAACTGTTTTGATAAAAAACCGTGAAGGACGTTTGGGATAGATCAAATTCTTTCGACAGCCATTATTGTTTGATGTAACCGAATTATGTCACATATTAGAGGAGTGCTATCCCTGAAGAGTCTCTCTGTGGGGAGCGTTGGAGCCTTTTAAGAACATGACAAATTTTCAATAAAGGTGTTTTTAATAGCTGCACATTGTTTTTGCAACGATCATACTATTCAGTATTGCCTATATAATGCGCAACGAACTGGAACGTCGTCGACGAGGTGTCGCAACGTTTGGAGGCGGGAGACGTGTCTCTGTGACCGATTTGATGGTCACACCATTGTATGCTACCCATCGGAAGGCATACGCTAGAGAGCTAGTAAGTAGAGTTGGTAGTCTCAACGTTTATTTTTTCCAGTTATTTGTGACAAGCACATAATGGCCTGCAGACCCCCGATCGAAGCTCTGCCTGCTAAGTTAAGAATAGTCCACAAAAAATATCTTTACGCGAGCGAAATCTGGCGTCTGCGACATTTAATGTTCCCAAACTTAGCTGGCCTTTTCCTATTTTTTGTGTAAAGAAACAATATTCCGTAAAAGTCCTACAACGCCGTCCATCACTAATTGCTTGCACTTCGTGTACCTAGATATGCCTTCAAAAATTTAACGAGTTCGGAATTGTTTCGACTTACTATCATAGCTGTCAGCATCCATCCGTCAAGGCCAATGATCTGATGAGCAAAAATTGGCTTTCAACCCAGTTGATTTGAAGTTGCAGCCGAAATCACAATTACACCAAAGGTCTTGGTAATGCAGTGCAGAAAGCGTGAGCCCGAAAAGGGTAATCTCGCGTTGGGAGCCCACCTAGGGTTTCGAGTATTGTGCATTTCTCAGAATCACTGTAGATGTATTTCACATAAAAATATATAAATTACACACATATTTCTGCCACGAAGAAATAATAGAAAGTAAGAAAAAGCAAGGAAAAGTTCCCACTTCGTTTCGCTTCCAAGCGACGGAAATCAATGAAGGCGATATACGGCAATGGTGTTGACAACGCTGGTTTGTGATTATGAAGTGTGATCAAAGGTTGTTCAACATCAGAAACATTCACATGTGTCACTTTTCAAGGTGGTATTCATTCGTTGAGATAGCACATGTCTTTCTGACGCCCATTTCATAGCTTTTCTTGTTTATCAATTGTCGCCTATCCTCTGAACTGGTCGTACTGAAGTTGGCTATAGACGATTACTGCAGGTTAGGTTTCTGTCCATCTCTCACTTGTATAGCAGAAATATTGAAAAAGTATAGAAACGAAGATGAGGATGCAGTGATCTGCTAGCTGATGGCCTCTTCTCAGCTCAACAACGAGTAGCTCAGTAACAACTCATATTGCTCTTGGTCTCCTTCCTATTGCCATTGTTGTCTCCTTTGGTACCCATCTTACTGTTCAATTTTGGTCTTCTGTTGAACGCTGCATTTAATCATATTTCATTACTTGAATAACGAAAATTTACGTAGTTGCTTTACTTAGAAAGATTTCTTGAGTTCAACGACCATTCATGACCGTCGTAATCCCTTAACGCAGAATCATTCACGAAGGAAAAACCGAGAGCGGAGAACAATTTCAGAAAAAGAACTTCAAAACATGGCCTTTGATGGTTGCAGAGGCAGCCGAGGATATCGAAAAATCCCTTAAACATCGCCTTCTTTTCGTTGAGAATGTTTTACGTTTTGGTCAAATGCAAGAGGTTGTGAAGGTAAGCAATTAATGATACTGAAAATAACTTCGTATTTCAATAACTAACGCTTTTGTAGATATTTAGGTACAACATAGATGCTGAGATATCTGCAAAACTCCGCACCGCAGGTGTACGCGGTGGCTAACGAACGCGATATTACTCTTTCCGGGGACTAACGCGTTCACCACCACACCATGTTGGTCCTTCTCACCTGTCTCCCAACTAGTTCTATCGATCAGTGCCATCAGCAATCACCCGTCAACGAGTCTGACCTCGGAAGCCCAAATCGGCTCGAAGTTTTGCAAATATCTTAGCATCATTGTGGTTGTATTTCGCATTATATCCCGGCGCGAAAAATTATATTAGGCAGCAAAATAAAAAGTTCTCATTATTTAGGTACCATTACAAACTTTGATTTTCTTTAATAGTAATTATTCTGGGATAATTTATGCATTTGAAGTATTCGGAACGATGTCTCTTTCTTTAGGAATTTCGTAAGCAAAATCAAGAATGGGTGAATGAACGACTGAAAGTAACGGACATACATAAGCAGATAATTCTTGGAAAGAAAGTAATTGAGTAAGTAACGTTTACGAATACAGCAATGGGTATGCGGTATTAAACCTGGAATAATTGACTACCGTTAAGATCTCTGAATAAACAGCGACCATTTCAATCAGCATATCATCTGGCCAGTGAACTTCATGAATTGCCTGCATCTGTCGGACATTCAGTGTTTTTTTGTATTGCACAGAAAGACCTGACATTGAGCATAGGAAAAGAGGAGATTGTCAGAAAAGTGCGTTAACTTGCTTCATTTCATTATCCGAGATTCTAAGCACGACATTCAATCTTATTCGAAGAAACTTATTCGAACTAAGAAGGTGGTTTGCACCTATCAAAACATATGACTTAATGTGGGTAGTGCGCGAGAAAATTTTTCTCAGAAAATGTTTCTTCTACCGAACAGCCATTTCTTTTTAACAAATTTTGTATTAAATCGATTGTTTCCCCACCACCAATGATGTTGTGCACAGACCTCACTAGATCAGAGCTATTATCCAGTATCCACTGTACCTCGCGAAAAACCATTTTTTGGACGAGTTTCTTCCTCTTACGCAGCTCTCAACGAAAAAGAAAATTGTCGATGTAGTGGATACTACGAAATCATTCCGCACCGATGGAAATACATTGGTCCAGCGGGAACTCAGTTGACACAATACAGATACAGTGAGAGAGAAGGGTGTTTCTAGTAAGGCCGGTGGGTGCTTCGTGCTCCTTCTTTGTCGTTGTACAACTCCGTAAAGTCGCTAAAGATAGCTAAGACAGTTCACGATTGTGTTGCAATTTGCTATGAATAGAAAAGTGAAGCTACTAAGAAAACATTTACCTCACAATTAAAGTCTTCCTAAACATTTTAAGAACCGACTTTCCTCTAACCTCGGTATGACTAGTCGATATGCACTCCTTCATTGATAAGCTAAAAGGTGGTCGATAATTAACTCTATTCGGCTAACGTTTCGACGTCTTCGCTTTTCTCAGAGAGGGAGAACGATGTCCACAGTCTTTCCTACTCTTTATGTGGTGTGCCTGTCGTCGTCTTGAGTCGGATTAGCGCCTCTCGAACCAGACGACTTCGCTCGGCGATGCTCTTTTATACAGAACCGTTATTTTTGATATAATTGTCCGATGAGAACAACTTTTTTCCGTACAATATATTCTGCAGAAGTCGTCGTCACTATCAGTTTGCACACAGCGTAAGAGTATAAAATCCTAAATAGTTAAAATTGTTAAGATTTTTCAAGGTCACAGAAAAAGGAGACGTTCCTTTACGAATTCAACCAACTAGGTACGAGTACAAACCGAGCGCTGTAACAGCATATAAAGCTTCGGGTGAGCACGTTTACACATAACGCGTCAAGTATATGCAATAAAATGCAATGCGTATGAAAGTCAGTCACTATGGCTTGATGAAAACACTTTAGGAAATTGAAAAAAAAATAAGAAAAGTTAGCAAGGCTCGTTGTTGGTAGCTATCATATGAAAGAATGTGCCTTTCAGAGTTTTCTGAGCCGTTGGCAATCAGCGTCCATGAGGCACCGCGCCGTGCACCTTCTGTAAACTCGTTGAGCGGATTCAGTAGTGAAAGTGGAGCATCTACAGCAACTGAGGTCAATATAAACATTTTTACAACATTATTATATATAGATGCAAACGATTCTTTCAATTCTAATTGCTGGAGCATAGTCGTTTCGTCAAATTTGTAGAGCACATATAATGTAACGGTGTAGGCACCTTGCAGTGCCAATGTGGTGTTTGGTTCTATCCCACAGCTGATGAGAGTAAAGTTTTCAATCCTCCAAGAGCGGGTAAAAATGTCTCTAATTGATCTGAAAAGCTGCAAAACTCTCGGTAAACCTCAGCAAGGCATTGTACAGGCCTCATCTTCAATCATCTTCACGATGGACAATCGAGCAAATAACAAGGCACATCCTTAAAGGATTGCTCGGTGTCGAAAGTTTTATCCTTTATAACCTTTTCGATCCACTTACATTTAACTTAATTAGAAAAAATTAAAGAAAACTTTGACAGATTCTAGCTATAAGCCTCATACTTAGCTACTACATCATAACTGTGTTCTAACAGTCGCTAATAGGCGCCACAAGATGTACAGAGGTACTGGATGTGACTTGGATATATATTACTTTTTCAGTCTCCTGGTGAATGGCAACATAACTGGAAGATGCAGACGATGCATAGAGATATGGAGCATCGATTAATGGACAACAGTATTCAAGTGAGACCTGTTAGAACATGGAATATACTGTAGCCGGTTCTCTCGATTTCATCTACATCACCTTTATAGACTCACACTGTAATACTGTCTCTTGATTCCTTTCAGTTCATTTAATTTCTGTTTTCAGCAAAAAACTGTCTTTTGTTTTATTACTTTATCTGTTTTTTATGTTGTCTGACCAAGAAAACAGAACGAAAGTTGGTTTTCTTCAGAATCCTTTGCAAGAAAAACAACTTAGTGAACTTGAGGCGGCACAGCGCATCGCCGATGAAGTGGATCGTCGGATTGCTCTACTCAAGTGGGTTTCAACCAGAAATAATGGTCATGTAGCACTTTTAAAACAACGATTTTATTGGAGTTACTTTGAGACAAAGAGATGGACCGTCAACTGAGCTGTTAGGAGAAAATTCATTTCAATCAAGCTCTAGTAAATGTGATTAGAAATCTCCATACACATCTTTATTACTGTTGCATTAGTAATAAACGGGCTAGTTACGGCTGGTTGTGGTACTGCCTGCTGTGCTGCGATCGATCACCAAGCCTTACTGAAGAGCTCCAGTCTTTTTTTTCGTACCAAAACAAAATGCATCTTTTGAAAAACCGCCGAAGACCACCAACATCCCGCACCTACGTCCACATCACATATGCACGTCAGCTTCTCATCCTATCCTGCCACCCGCGTATATTGAGGAAAGAAAAGTACCACACGAGAAAAAATAAACACCTTAGAAAGTCGAAAAACGCGAATGTTCTTCCAGTGACAGTTATAGTAACCAATGTTCAAACTTTTATTTATCGCCTTATACTTTTTCATGGCTGGGTATTAAGTAGCATACAACCAAAATAATACTGAAATATTAGCAAATTTAAAACCACACTGGACTCCGCCCTGAGACTACCCTTTATGGAATGTTCACGTGTTACCCGCTACGCCACCGAAGCCTTCGCTTAGCTTTTCTCTCGGTCAGTTTTCATGGCATTCCTATGGTTAAAGAAAGCTTTTGAAAGCTTGGGTAATCGCAGGTTAAAATCTGGCCTGTGGTTCAAGTTTCACATATGTCTCAGAATCGTTACAGTTACAGTAACCGCAGATGTAGCGTTAAGTAAAAAAGTAATTGCATTTTTTTAACATTTTTAGCAACACACGCACAATTTTCTAGGAAAAATGGAAGTTAGAAAAAACCATAGACCTCAATTGTTGTAAATTCTTCTGAGTTAAAATTAATAGAAAAAATGAAGAAATCCGGCTGCTCGGCTTATCACGATAATCACAGATCACAGACCTGTTGACGCCGTTTCATCGATAATCAATCGATAGCCATTTACAGTAATCCTCAACAAATTGGAACCCTATGTAGCGGGAAATTTGACGAATTCTCACAGTATTACAGGGATGTCTTCTCAGAAAATCCGGTAACTGTTCACAGTCTTAAAAAAGTGTGAATTTCTACTACGTAAGGCTCTCTAAGATGTCTTAAAACTGCCTCAACTTCCACGACCAACTTTCTATTAACCTCGGCATTGATCAAGTAATTCTTCGTATTTTTGTTGAGCAAGCGCGAGGTGTTATTATTCTTTATTCACGAATAAGCTGACGTTTCGGCGGATTTCGCCTTCCTCACAGCCGCTTTCTATGATTTGATTGATTTACTATGATCTATGGTTTCCACTAAGTATGTCACGTAGAGACCAACCGCTCAGTAATCACATGGAAGCATAATGTGCCCCTCCCATCAGAATAGCAGTCCTATATACCAGTATATATATATATAGTATATATATATACTATACTCATATATATACTAGTATATGTATAGTATATATATGAGTGTACTAATATATATATATATGTAGTATATAAACGAGTTTATATACTAGTATATATATATATATATAGTATATATATATATATATATACTATATATATACTAGTATATATACTCATATATTAGTATATATATAGTATATATATATACTATATATATATATGCTTGTATATATACTCAACATATACTAGCATATATACTCATATATATACTAGTATATATATAGTATATATATATGAGTATACGAGTATATATACTCATATATATTAGTATATATATAGTATATATATGAGTTCATTAGTATATATACATACTCATATATATACTATATATATATATATATATATATATATATTAGTATATAAGACTGCTATTCTGATGGGAGTGGCACATTATGCTTCCATGTGATTACTGTGCGGTTGGTCTCTACATGACATACTTAGTGGAAACCTCATAGAAAGCGCCTCTGAGGAAGGCGAAATCCGCCGAAACGTCAGCTTATTCGTGAATAAAGAATAATAACACTTCGCGCTTGCTCAACAAAAATACGAAGAATTGCCTTAACATCCTTTATTTGAAGATAAAGCTGCGTCGAAACAAAACGACTGTTGTTCGCTTGAAAAATGAAATAAAACGAATCCTAGCATTTGCAAAGTCGTTTGATGTGAGCAAGGCTGAAGATTTCGTACCTATCCAGGTATTCACTTTTATTCACGCTTCTTCTTGCTACTCTACCAGCAAAATTATTTTCTTTCATGTAACTGATTAGTCGAAAAAATTGGGTGAATGAACTTGGTAAAAAATCATGGTGGTTAGAAGTGGTCAGGAATACACAGAAGTTCGTTGTTTCGATCGTGCGTCCCATTCTTAGTGGGCCTTGTTTCGCCTTGTGGTCGTCGAACCAGAGTCCCCTGGGAAAATAAAACTCTGATTCGATAGATCAGCAGACCCCTGAATGCCATCATGCAGGTCAAATACGCATTTGGCTACTGTCACGACCTCTACGAAAGGATTAGAATGCATGAAGAACGCTTAACCAATAGACTGACGCCTTATGATTTATCTCCAACCTTTTTTAGATTGATTTTTAGCACAGTTTTTCCAACAACATTTAATCATATCGGCAGATTTTTCATAATTGGAGTCGTGTTTTTAATCTGTCTAGAAAGAAATATGAGAAGAAAGTTAGGTGCAAAGAAACCTTAAAATAAGAAGTGCAACTTATACGTGGGATAATTTCGGCGAGCGAAAAAGGTGCACAAAAAAACCAAGGGAGAACGAAACCACCAGACTGCTTCCGCTATGGCAGGTATTTCATTGAGTCTGGTGCTGTAGCTGCACAGCTTCCAAAACGATAGCTGTGATTCGAATTTGAAAGTCCCAAACTCTCAATTAACCTCGGGATCAACAAATAGGTTATTTTGTATTTACCAGCTGTCCTATGGTGAGCTGGTAGGCGATTTCCAACACGTTTTGTGGTTTTCAATGGGAAGTTCATTGGTGACTTCGTCTTCCTCAGAGCCATTTTTTTTCTCTAGCAACAGAGCACTCAAAAACTATGGAAGCAACTCTCAAAATGATAGTCGTGGTTTTTTTTAAGTTTCGCACTGCGAGGTAGGTGTAACAGTGATGAAAACTCATCGTCTTAGGCACTAGATTACGTGCATTGAAATAGCACGTCAGAAATGACCACCAAGAAATATTGTATAGAATATAACATGGAAATTTCCTTAAGGATGAAATGTTTATGAGCGACTGAGCATCGAAACCGACACTGAGGATTTTAAGGGTATCTTTCGAGGGTCGACGAATCAGCTTCAATGCAATTGTTTAATAAAATGAACCACTTGACGCAGTAGTGTTTTGGTAACATCCACAAGGTTTCTTTATCCCTTACGGCCTTCCTTTTTAGATCGCGATGATGTTTTTGACAAATCCTGCAATTTTATCGTGTTGCATTTGTGTAGTGTTGAGAGAAACGAAACTGGTCCAAAGTGGAGCAAAGTATTTAATATATAAAGACTTTCCATTTACTATTAGTTGACATTTCAGGTTTTTAAACTTCTCGTATTCATAAGATCTCGTACAAATCTTTTCCGTTATTCTTCTGTTACTTCGAAAGTTTCTTATGCTGCATTTAATTTTGGGCTTTTGCTAAGTTTCTTTCCTTTTTTATCATCAGCATCAATGTTTTAGGCGGCTGACTATGCTCATAATGAAATGATCAGAATGATTCCAACAAATGGTGGCGATCCATACGACGGGTAGGACGGTCAATTGAGAGTCTCTGAATTAGCCATACTGAGTCGGACTGCGTGCTAAAACTCATTGTTTTACTTTGGCGAAGCTCAAAAATCACACCGGCCTTGCTCGTCAAAATCGAGAGGTGTCCCGCTCTTTCTGCAGAATTCAAATTCTCCACAAAAATTGTAGGAAAATACCAAAATACAAATAAAGAATTTCCATTATCAGGAGGTCTTCGAGAATTTCTCCTGGTATGTCTGAATTATGCCGAGCTTGTTAAATTTTAATGACCAGCATTCCTTATTTAGATTATCGATCAACAACGCATGGAAAACGCTAATCGATAACGGAGTGTTAACGGATGCAAGTAAAGAAAAACTAAAAACAATAGTAAGGTCGTTTCATGAAACACTGCAACACACATCGATACACAACTGTCCAAATCCTTTCCGATAAGATATTGATTTATTTAGACCTTTTTTGATGATTTCGATCGGAACTCTGCTTTCTACTTCCTTCTCTCTTAGCCTTTCCGCACCCATGACCGGAACCAATTCATTCTGTATGAATGACCTTATTGTATTTCGTTACTGCACCGAGGATGCTCTGCTAGATGAAAACGAGAATCAATCACATTGACCACAATTTCAGAAGGTCGCTTTTGTATTATGCCTATTCCTTTTCCATAGCAATGGTATGATGTGAAATATAAGCACAATGAAGCTGACTCATAAGAAAAATTCGAAACTTCAGCTATGTTTCAAACCCGCGATTACCCTCGCTGGGGGCATACGTCCTTCCTATCCACTACACTTACCGAGGCTCACACTTTGGATTTCTCTCAGCCACATTCTTACTCTATCGGTGCTATCAGCCATCACACGCTTCCGTCATGCCCGCCGATGCTCACTTGATGTTCCCTGTTTCGCTCAAATCTCTACTTCTCCATAGTGTCAGAACTGTTTCTTAGGGTAACAATAAGTAACCAGTACTTTTGTTTCCCGTTTTTTCTTTACAGTTTTCTTCAAACCATTCATGGGTGAATGTCAGCTGTTTGTCACAGAAATATATTGTTCCTCGCTGTGATCAACTACCTCATGAGTCGACTACAACAGCTGAGGTAGGGGCATTTTTGGTGTTTGAGAATGTGTTCCATTTCAATTCTAGTTTTTTTACCAATGTTTTTAAACCTAAACAAAAAAACGTTGTAAATGACAACTCGCTGCACTCGTTCTGTCATATAACCCATAATGCATTTGATGCGATTAGTGAATTTCTTTGGAAACCTGATTTAATAAGAGAGAGCGTAGCGCAGTCGTTGCTATAGCGTTCGTCAGGAGCACGGTGCTGGATCGACCCCTTCTGGGCTCATCAAGCTCTCATTCCTGTGTGGTCGGAAAATTGCTACTAGAATCTCCTGAGCTCAACTCACTCCTCCAGATCACGTGGGAACGCCCTAGTCCAGCTATATTCAAGACTGCAAAAAGAATCTACTCGACCAGTATTCAACGACCTTCATGAAGAAGACGACATTCCGAAGCAGCAGCCGAAACAACACGAGAAATATTCGAAGAACTTTGCGACGATGAATAAGAGGAAAACGAATTGAATGCCATAAGTTGTGAGATCCATGTTGCTAGGTGTGATGATGAGTCGATTAAAAAAATTCACGGCAGTTGAGGCATTTTGAACCGAACAAAAAGCCTTATTGAGGAACTTTTTCTTCACGTGCTACATTTTAATTGTTTACTGCTTTTCTTGACGAACAAACACAAGGTTGCCATTACAGCATTTATTAATACAAAAGCCGGTGCTTCGGTAGTTTTACCTTCTTCATAGCCGGAAAGGCACAAATTGACAAACTATGCAAATTTTCGGTGTGTATAGACAGTCATACAGGAAGATAAGAACTAGCTGACGTCTTAGAATATTCGGTGGTATTTCAATTACTATCAGCGAATTCTTTGGATCGGCCCCTTCCGAAGCAACACTTTATAGCTGCACTTATTTTCTTGAAAATGAGGAGCAGGGAAAGCGGGACTTCGTTCCACGTAGAATTATCGTTTGCGCCTGGAGACGGTGATTGCGTGAGTTCGGGTGCGGTGTACAAACTTCACTGCGCACTGTTCATTATGTGGGTAAGAATTTAAGTAATTAATTAATTCATTTAATCATTTAATCAATTATTTAATTAAGTATTAAGTCTCGTCTGCTCAGTTCATGAGAGTGTGTGGTTCAGTAGAATATGTGTCAAATTAACTTTACCAGGTTCTGAGAAAGCCGAAACTTCCAAAACTTCGGCCATTGTGTATCAGTAAATGCTGTAATAACATCTTCGTGTTTATTCATCAAGGAGAACAATGACTTTTTATTCAATGCTGAGGTTAAAGGAAGATAACAGCTCGACTTGGGGTTTTAGTCCGTTTCCGTCGTTTTCCGCAGTGGAAATCGTTTCGAATGAAAAGTGATAGAATTTCAGTACTCGTCGTGTTCGTCTTCCTGGATTCTCATTTGTGCTCTGATTTGTGTCGCTTGCGCGATTCTGCTTGGATTCTTAAAAACTTCATAAAGAAACAGCAGATGAAAAGTTCAATACGAAACTCCGATAAAAACTATCCACATTTACTATTATCTTTGAAAAAATAAATTTTCTTTAAAAGAGTGTTACAACCTTGTGATCAGTCATTTCAGCTCGTCTTTTCTTAAAGATTACATCTTGACCATTAATCTGGAAACATGAAGCTCTTTAGTTCATTTCGTCGTTCTTATCTAACGTAACGTTTGTTCTCATGTACTTTTTTCATGAAAACCGTCTCTCGCAAATCTCGTATTCGCACTGACTGTAACCCCGATATTACGATGTTGCAGGAAGCACTTTCCACGGCATTGATTAATAGTAGATAATCATGCTATCATTGATAAAACTATTTCTCTGTGACCAAAACTATTATGGGCAACTACTGCTAACGCAACCCACAGCTTTCCGTGGAGTCTCTGTCGTGCACTTCGGCTTTTTATACCCAGTGCTCAGTATTCTGAGCTAATTCTACTCTAAGGTGGAGTACTATTATGCAAAAAAGCGCTTTTACAGATCAGGCCAGAATAGAATGAGAAGTACGATAATTTTTTCTGATGGACATATTTGAAAGCGGTTTCTTCAATGAAGCTGTCCGACTGAACTAAATGTAACACGCAACTTTACTGCTCCGATTTTTTCTAATCTATTTCTTCTTTATTACAAAAGGAGTGCGTGTGACGCAGTGGCCGGGGGCGCCCTGTAACACACACGTGTAATCGATCCCCGCGCCCATGGCCCACCAAAATTTCTATCTCTCCGAGGTCGGCAAATTGGTACCAGACTTGTCTAGAAGGATAGCAGCACTGGCTCGAAACATCGCTAGGCTACGGCGAGTCATTGTAAAGGCTAGACATGCATTCAATCACCTCCAACGATACTTAATGAAGTCGAATGCACAACACATTCCTCAGCTTCATCCTTCATCCTTCTTATCCTTTATCACGAAGAAATAAACAGCAAAAAATCGTTATTTTAATGCTTCCTTGTGGTTTTTCGCCGCTCGTTGTTCAACAGGTGGTACTTCTCGTTTAATGTTAGGAGTACGAGCAGGAGGTCCTAAAATTCTGTGTTTCAAACTTGTGGAATGTAACAAAAAACTTTGCTTATAAAGTTAATGAGACTACTTCTTAATCACATGACCTAGAAAGCCGTTGATGCCTATTTCCCAACTCTTGTGAAGCACTTGCGAATCACATAGATGAGAGCATTATTATTGTACAAGCTCCCCTTTAAGGTGAATCAAGCCAAAACCGAACTTTAAGAAACCAGGTAAGAGCAGTTTTTTTCATTATGGGTACCCTAACTCTCGACATCCATAATGTCATCGCCCAACCAAACTTCGCGCGTATTTCCTAAGCTAGGTGGTTCACTGTCGTAAAGGGTGCGTAGGCTTCAAGCTGTTAAGTGGAGCAGTGAGTTAAGACCGTTTAAGGATACTCATTAAGCAGAAATTTACAGCTTTCACCCAAAAGTTTAGCTCAACGTAAACCTCTTCCAGGAAGTGCAACAAGTCCGGGAGAAATCAGGGTACAACGCGGGAAATTATCTTTGCGTCCACAACGGTCGGTTAATATCTGTTGCGTCGTGTCGTAGACGTGCGATTACGACTGTCTCGGAACATCCGGTGCTAAATCAGAGAAAAACCCGATGATATAGAAAAAAACGTTGAAGACAGCAATCTGGCACTCCATAGAGATGGTCCACTTCAGCACTCCAGTTATTGTGTTAGTGGGAATATTTAAAAAACCATGTTTCATGAATATTGTTCTTAATAGTTTAAACAAAGAAAACAAAATTTTTTAGTTGTGTTTAGCTTACTCTGATCCTTTTCTTTTTCATTAGTAGGCGATGACGAATAATTTACACGTCCTTTTTCTCGGTTTGGGAATAATCGCGAGCTATTTAGTCCAAAGTAGGTGTCTGTCTCTTCTTTTTCTGGATTCTGAAGTGATTCCGGAGCGGCTTATTGTGGTTAGCAATGTTTTATATTAAAATCGCTACACTCACATCAAATTCACGAATGCCACTCGGCTTAAAGATGTTTGTGTTTGGTTTTGATTGATTTTTATTTATGCATACGCTTAATATTATTGGTACCGATAATACAACACTTATAGGCAATAATATTATAGTCAGCAATGATATCTGAAATTTATTGATCAAAGATTGAGTAAGATAGCAGTGTAATAAAAAAGGAAAGTTAAATTTTTAACCATTTTGGGGGGCTCATGTGAAGCAAAGGCCAGAGGCCCACCGCAACACACTTGTCCCTAGCTCGAATCCGAGTCCAGGGCTAACCAAGCTTTTCATCTATCCAAAATCAGATAACTAATATCTGGATTGTATATAGAGGCAAAAACAGAGGTTTAATATTGCGATTTTTTCTTGATAAGCACACATGAGTTGTTGCTTTATTCCTTATGCAAAAAAACTGCCTACTCGACGG